CCACAAACCGCAGCGCAAAAAAGTTGGCACCACAAAACTCCCACGTAAAAAAGTTGTCCCGAACGCGCGCGCGCGTACACGGGAAAAGGACCGCCTGCAAACCCAAAGGGACGTCTTGGATTTATTTCATTCGGGTTTGAGTGAATGTTTAAAGTTGTTTCGAAATTAAGATCACCTCACAGAAATTGATGACAAATAAAATTTGTCAGCACGTCATAGGTTTCGATGGGAAATGAATAAATTATTGAACTTCAAAAGGGGTCATTTTGTCCCATTTACAAAGTCAAGTCGATTCCGAGCTCGCGAGTCCCTGCGGCTCGGGGCGGGCCCGGTAGCTCGCGTCGCGGTCGCGCGGCAATCGGGAACGACTTACCGCCGTGCCTGCCTGTCTCTGTCGCACTCACGGGGCTCTCCGGGCGGGTGCGAGAGAGACAGACCGATCTCCTCTGGAATCACTCGGTGCCGCTTTTGTCGCGGAAGAGGATCGCACGCGGCGATTCGCAGAGTGGCGACAACCGCGGCCGCGGCTTGTAACGGCAACGCTGCGGGTGCACTGCAAGTGTGCAGCGCCAAGGCCGAGCTGAGGCGGTCCGCGGCTGATGAGCCGAGACGTCGGTGTCTGGAGTCGTGATTAGCCTGGGCTTTCGACCACCTCTCTCTCTCTCTCTCTCTCTCTCTCTCTCTCTCTCTCTCTCTCTCTCTCTCTCTCTCTCTCTCTCCAGTGAGTGGCCGGTGCGACAGTCGCGTCCAGTGTGCCTCCAGACCCAGACGTGATTCCGCTTGCCAACGAGCATGGAAAAGTACCGATCCATAGGAAGAGACTCTCCCACGCAGCATCGAAAAATTTCACAATAATTTACGTCACAGAACGCGACGATGAAACTGTCAAGAAGCCTCCTCGAACGCCTGCGAAGCTGAGGGTGGACTGCCCCGCCGAGCAGCCGCGCTAAGTGTTGCCTATCTCGCAGGCGCTCCCCTTAAGAGGCACTCAACGCACAGACGAAAAGACGCACAGCCATGCAGGCACGCAGACATAGCCTGCAGGCACACAGACAGACAGACAGACCGACGCCCTAAGTGCCACTTGTTGCCTACCTCGAGGGGAAGGCGCCCTTAATGCCAGCAGGGCGTGGCCTGGCGTGGCGCGGCGTGGCCTGGCGGGGCCTACATTGTCCGAGTGCCCTTGGCTGCACGGCCTGCACGGCCCACTGGGGTGCGGTGGCGCGGAATCCTCCAGTGTAGCCGATAAGCCCGAATGGACGGCGTCGGGGGACGGCCTGTCCGTGTGTGTGTGTATGTGTGTGTGTGTGTGTGTGAATGTTTTGTGTCTGGGACAGTGCGAGTGAGCGGAGCGCTAGTGTCTTCGGGAAGGGACACGATTCAGTGACTTTTAGATGCACTGCAAGAGTCCTTCCTAGCCTCCTTTCAGTAAAAAGACACCCAAATTAGCCTTAATATCATAGGAATCGTACGCAATGCGCTTTGTAAACACGTGTCCACGCGCGCGGTAGCTCTGTGTCGTCCATTCTGTAAAAGGACTGGGCAAGGGCGGGCCAGGTCGCCGCAGGCTGTGTTTTTCTAGAGCCTCCCACTCCCCCCACCCCGCCGGCAAAAAGTGACACGCCACCGCAAAACACGGCCCTGTAATGGTTTTCTGCCCTCCCCTCGTAAGTGTTGCATGAGTGGAGAGGTGGACGGACCGTGTGCGGCGAGCCGCGCACAGTGGGCCAGAAGACCGGTGGAGGCGGACAAAACTCCGGACGCGTTTTGAGCTCCAGAGTGGCTAAATGGGGCTCGAACCGAACGTGTGACCCCACCAATGGATTGCTCTCCGAACGAGGAATCGGGAAGACGTTGACCACAACGATTTTGGCTTCGACCGCAACGATTTTCCGACCAAGTTGGTCAAAAAGTTGTCAAATCTCGGAAATTGCTGATTTTGCTGACTTTGGGTGGCCACTGTGTCCAATCTAGTCGCCGTAAAAGGCCTCCCTCGACGTCCTAGTATTCTTAAGACCCTACTCTTTCATGCCCTGTATCGGGAAGACGTTGACCACAACGATTTTGGCTTTGACCGCAACGATTTTCCGACCAAGTTGGTCAAAAAGTTGTCAAATCTCGGAAATTTGCTGATTTTGCTGACTTTGGGTGGCCACTGTGTCCAATCTAGTCGCCGTAAAAGGCCTCCCTCGACGTCCTAGTATTCTTAAGACCCTACTCTTTCATGCCCTGTATCGAGAAGACGTTGACCACAGCGATTTTGGCTGTGACCGCAACGATTTTCCGACCAAGTTGGTCAAAAACGACTCTGCAGTAATCCTGCGAGTGGTGGCTGCGTCCACACACATTCCGGTCGGGGCTTTTATCGGGCAGTAAAGTGCATACGGACTCGGCCCGCGATGGAGTGTTAAGGATGACTCCGCGCGCCGCGAAGTGACATCGCAATCACTCCCATCACCGTAAAACTGAGAAACTATCTGATTTGCATCCAGCAGGGCAATCCGTTTGACCCCAGACGAAGGTAACCGGGTTATCTCAAGAGCAAAAAAACAAACTCTGTGCTCACTTCCTCATTTTAAGATCTCGCGGTAATTGCAATTGTTACTCCAGAACATCCAGAAAGCGGTGGGGCTGTTTAAAAAAAAATTGTATGAGTTTTTTCTTTTTTCAGTGTGGTGCGCCGCAGGTCGTGTCCGGGAGCCGCCACACTGGTTTGGGAGGATGCTGGGAATGCTAGGGCTGTCCAATCTCACCGCACGCGTGTCCATCCACTCGCCACGCGCCGCCCCGCCCGCCCTGCCCCGCCCCGCCCGAAGCCCCGCCTGGACACTACCGATTCGGCTTTTAGCACGCTTCCTCGACACGAGCCGGTAGCTTGCCGTTTTCGCTTCGTTTTTAAACGCCAAACTTCGGGCCGGCCTTGCGGCTGCCCACTGCTTCGCCATGACTTTGCCGTCGCTCTGCCTGGAGGCTGCGGTGGCCGTGCCCGGTCTGGCCTGTAAATATATGTACGATGTGCGGTTTTTCCTGTTTCACTTATTTTCTTCTCCGTCGCTGCGTCGCTGCGTCGCTGCGTCGGCCCAGGGACGGCCGGGCTGCTGTCAGTCACTCGTCCCCGGAGTCCACTGCACTGCTGGAAAAAGGGCCCACCCCCCGCCAGAAGACCGGTGGAGGCGGCCGAAACACCGGACGCGTTTTCGAGCTCCAGAGTCGCTAAACGGGACTCGAACCGAACGTGTGACCCCACCAATGGACTCCGAACGGGGAATCCATTGGTGGGGTCACACGTTCCGTTCGAGCGATTAGCTTCTGTCAAAAGTGACGGCGGGTTTTTAACAGTGGGGCCGTCCCGGGCAGCGGCATCCGACCGCCACGGACCCTCGGAGTTGCCTCGCCGGGTAATCCGGCAAATGCCTCTCCGAGTGGCGAATCTCTGCCCGAAGGAGCGAGCCGAGCGTGAGCCGAGCATGAGCCGAGCGTGAGCCGAGCGCGAGCCGAGCGCGAGCCGAGCGCGAGCCGAGCGTGAGCCGAGCGCGAGCCGAGCGCACCGTGCAATCGAGTGGCACATCATTTTCGGGGAAAGAAAATAAGCTATTTACGACGGGGGCAGCAAATTATCGCTGTGGGCCTTTGGTGCGGTTCGGGCGGGTTCGGCCGCCCCGGCGAAGCCCCGTCCAAGCAGCGCGCGGTTTTACAGTGTCAACAGTCGGCTCAAGGTGGCGTGGACCCGAGGGGTCGTCAATCGTACACTTCCCGTTCGGGCGATTAGCTTCGTCAAAAGTACGGCGGGTTTTTTAACCGTGTGCCATCCGGGAGCGGTATCCCTCCACGACCCTATTACTCGCCGGGTAATCCTGCACATGCCTCTCCAGTGGCGAATCTCTGCCCGACTTTGGACAGCAGCGTAAAGTCTTCAGGCTTACATGCTTGCCGCGTCCGCGGTCGTTGCCCTTTTCAGCGCGAAGCCGAGCGCTATTCTGGTATTTCCTATATTCTTCATATTATTTATTTACTTATATGACCATTACCGATTACTTTATATACTCATTGCAATGAGTGCACATCATTTTAATGAAAATAACCTATTTCCCGACGGTGGCACAAATTCTCGCTGGGGCCTTTGGTGGGTTCTTGCGGGTTCGCTTATACCAAATCCTTGTCAAGCATCGGGGTTTACAGGAAAACAGTTGCGCAAGGTGGCGTGGACCGGAGGGGAAAAGGGTCAGAAGGTGAGCGGCGACTTATACCGTCCTCCAGTCCGACTGGCTTCGAGGCCACTATTTATCGCTTTGATAGAGGATGCGGTCACCGCGAGCAGGAGAGAACAGTCCACCGAATCGTCTTTCTTTTCTCGCCGATTCAAACACACTGTTAAAACGATCCGTTTACTCGAGCCGCGCGGAGTTCTGCCGCCGCAGAGGGCGTTTCGTCACCGCGCCGCCGCGCCAGAATCGCAGACGGCATGAATATTCAGCGGGAATTTGTTTGACCTAAGACTCACTGGGCCTTTTGAACATTAACATAACAAGGGAAAGACCTTCCCTTGTCTGCAAAAAATATTTTTCAATCATGAATATTTACCAGAGGCAAAGACGAAAAATCTGCGCCATGTGCCATGCAGTGGTGGTGGTCTGCCTGTCTGTCTTTCTGTCTGCTTGTCTGTCTGTCTGTCTGTCTGTCTGTCTGTCTGTCTGTCTGTCTGTCTGTCCGTCTGTCTGTCTGTCTGTCCGTCTGTCTGTCCGTCTCTCAGCGAGATGCGCGTTGCAAGAATGCACCTTCCACGCCACCAGAAGACTCTCGGCTGCTCCGCTTGGTTGGTCGGAGGCAGGACCGGGCCGGCGGGACGCGGGACGCCCGGCTGGCCTGGCGAGGCTGGCGCGGGGCAACAAGCAACCTGTTGTCGCGGCGAGGGGGAGGGGGAGGGGCGGCTGGCGGAGGGGAGGGGAGGGGGGTCTCGGACCGCGAGGCTCCCGCGCGCCGCAGCAAGCAAACGCCGAGCGACGGCCAAACGGGCAGCACACGCCGAGCACACGCCGTGGATGCGTCGGCCGTCACCACACGGCACGCGCAGCGACGCGCAGACACGAACCAGACACGCGAGACACGCGAGACACGCGAGTGTGCCGCCCCGACGGTGTAGTGGTTCCTGTGGTTGAAACGCGCCGCGACGCGCCGCGGATCGGCTGCTGTTGTTGGTGCTGCTGCTGTTGGGGGTTGTGATTGGTGTTGTTGTTGGCGGTGGCAGTGTTGTGTCAGTGGCAGTGAAACTGTGCGGCGGAAAGTGACGTGTCTGTGATGCACCGCCGAGTGACGTGATAGTGAACGTGGCAAGAGAAGTGTCCGCGTACACGGCCAGTGCAGCGAGGTGTTGTGGGTGAGTTGTGTCGGCGTAGACCCCCGCCGATGGCCGCACAGTGGGCCAGAAGACCGGCGGAGGCGGCCAAAACCCTAAACGCGTTTTGAGCTCTAGAGTCGCTAAACAGGACTCGAACCGAACGTGTGACCCCACCAATGGATTCCTCGTTCGGAGAGCTATCCATTGGTGGGGTCAAGCGTTCGGTTCGAGTCCCACAGCGAAACGAGTTGAAACAATTTTTTCCCAGTTGTTGGCTTGGCTGAAGCGTTGTACGTGGTGGGTGGTGGGCGGTGCGTGCGGTGGTCGCGCGTATTACCGATGCGCCCACCACACTGTGTTATGACCCGGTGCAACGGCCTTACAGCGGCGCTCGCCCACGGCAAGCAGTCTGGCGGGACGACCAGGCCTTGCGGTGCACCACACGTTCACTTCTGCCAAAGACAGGTTTGCCAATTTTCGATAGTTTTGGTCAGAAAGTGAGTTTTGAATTGATCCAGTGCGCAGTCTCCGAACGAGGGACGACTGCAGTGAGCATTTAGAGGATGACCTGACAGTGGAGACGGACATGATCTTTACAAATGACGAAATTTGCATCGCCAGTGTAGTTGCAGCAAAGCGAAAGCCATAAGGGGAGCGCCGGAGGCTTTAAATCAGAAAGCCTCTCCAGCCAAACCCGCGCAAAAAAAAGAGAATTAAGAAAAAAAGATACCGGTCGGAGAAGTCAACTTTCTCAAGGTCAGCTGTGTGTCCAGAGCGTGGCCGCACCTAGCCGCGCGGACTCCCGACGATGATATCGTGCTCGATGCCTCGAAGACGTTCGAGACGATCGAAGAAGACGCCTAGGATTCCTGGAAAATAATCACTGTTTGCGAACGGCGTCGGCGGTTGCACCCAGAAAAATGGTCCGAGGCATGTCACGTGATTCAAGGGTAGAAACCGCATTGTCCACAGGCAGCGGTCACCCCTAAGCCCTGTATCCATGGGCTGGCGCCCCCTTTCGCTGAGTAAGTGACACTGTAAATAACGAACGTGTCACTTCTGCGGGCCGTCAGCTGTCATCCTCGACGTGGAATAAACGCCGCTCGGCCCCAAGCAGGCACTTTCCGTCCACCCACCGCCTGCTAGGCGATACTTTTATGAAGTGCGGGACTGTACGCGAAAACCAGTAACGCGCTGGACGACCGCATTCCTGCCGGCCGCTCTGTCTCTCTCGCACCCCCAGGGACGCCCACGAGTGCGAGAGAGACAGAGCGACGGAACGACCCAAGGCGGCTGGACCTTCGCGGACACGGCGGCTGTTAAATCCAAAACAAGTGGCAGGAAAGGTACTGGCGGGTCGCCAGAGCAGGAAACCTTGTAATGAAATGGAAGTTCGCCCCTTGGAGACAAAACCAAAGGCAAGGCCGGTGCAGTCCGCAAAAAGGACCAGTTTTTCTGGAAACGCAACGCAAAGGCTCGGCGCTGTCTCCGCCCCGCTCGCCACAGCCAATACAGGCCGGAACAAGAAATGCCCATTCCCGTGTTTCCAATCGGATCCCGTCCGTCCAGGCCCACGCTCGGCCCGCGGGCTGTGTCTCTCCCATTTCCTTTGGTCTGCACTAGTGCGGTCGACAACAACCGGCGTGGTCAAAAGAGCGGCCGGAGTACAGTTGCAAACCACAAAAGAAAAAAAAAAAAACTGTACACAAAAACTGCACGCAATGTAACAATATATATACTATAAAATTCGTGGATCCTCCCAAAAACTGGTCAAAAAAGACAAAGAAAAGTTAAAAAAAGAAAAAAAACTGACTGTCTTAAATTTATGACTTTATGACTTTTTCATGCGTTAAAAAATTTCCAGCTTTTTAATTGCGATAATTTCAACTTTTTTCGATAAGCAACTCGCTAAAGTTACGTAAGGGAGATGTGTGGACTGCACTTCGCTTTTCCGGCCGTAAAGACGGCCACTCGGTGGAGATGCGCCATAAGCACTAAATCAGAATCGCTCCCCACTTTGCATTATTGATTACACCGGCGTGTGCGACGCTTAATGGCTGCAAAGGAACGGCGGCTGACCTTTTTCAGAATCGCCACCGGCAAAAGGCAATGATTTTAAAAGGCGGAAAAATTGAATTAACCCATCATCGTCAACTTTTTTTTCAAAACGCCACCTCCTTTAAATCAATGTTAAGCCTTTTTTTCGGAACGAGTGTAAAATTGATTGGTTTACCGGGATTCTGAACTGCTGTCCTCTTTTTCACCAAAGAGTCCTCAGAATTCTTTTTTTCCGAGTGCAGACCACCGCCGCGGAGATTTATTTTCGGTTGACGGAAGCGGCGAAAGTTTGAGTTAGAGCTCCACTTTGTGGGGCCAGCTGTAACGTTTTCGATAGATGTGTGATGTGCCCTCCGGCGCCCCGCCCCGCCAGCAGGAGTCCGATCGCCAAGGTCGCAAGCACTCGCTTGCACCCGGTGTGCTGAATGGGCATTAAGGCTCATTAACAAAGCAGAAACCTCTCGAGCCAATGTTGTTTTTGTTTTTGTTGCCGTCGTTGTTGTTGTTTTCCAGATATTTTATTTTGTAATAGTTAGCGACGTGTGTACACGTACGATTCCTAGTGGTCGAAGGCGACTCAAGTAGAGATGTTTCAAAATGATGTTTCCTTTCAAATTTGTTTTATAGCTATTTTTTTTTGTCGGTGAAGAGGAACTTGGGAGACGTTGTCCCAGTTTCGCGTGTATCGTGGATTGTTTGTCGTGCTGCTCGAGTGCACAGCAGCGCGAAACAGCGAGACATGTCATCAGTGTGCATCGGCGGGGCGCCGCGTGGAAGGAACTCCTTTGCACAGTGTGCCAGAAGACCGGTGGAGGCGGTCAAAACTCTAGACGCGTTTTGAGCTCCAGAAGTCGCTAACTGGTACTCGAACCGAACGTGTGACCCCACCAATGGACTGCTCTCCGAACGAACAATCCAATGGTGGGGTCACACGTTCGGTTCGAGTCCTGTTTAGCGACTCTGGAGCTCAAAACGCGTCTAGAGTTTCGGCCGCCGGCGCCGTCTCCTGGCTCTGCCGCGGAGTCGAAACAACATTGTACAGTCCGCGCCGAAAGTGGCGGCCGGGCTTCTAGTGCAGCGACCCCCGACTACTGTGCGCGGAAACGTAACAAGCTTGGCAGGCCTGCCACTTAATTGACCGCATTCATAACACTGGGCTCCACTACACTGGCCGCCGCACCGCCGCAGGCCGGACCGCAGGCCTGGCGCGCCCAAAATATTTCCCCTTCCGATCCGAATGTTTGTCGGTGCCAACGCGTGAATTGTGGCGCAGGTCCGCCAGTCCGCCGCGCCGCCGCCACAGCATCTCAAAGGAACGCGGTGGCGCGACGTCCGCGTCGACCAGTATGACAATTTGTCAACAACGGTTTTTGTTTCGTTCTCCCGCGTTTTATTGATGCGATATTAATGACAACGGTGACTTGGCCACTTTGGTATACCAAAATAACGCGAGCACCCCGGCGGCGGCCCGCTACTGCCCCTGACCCTAATCATGAAATTCATGTGTTTGACTTACTGGCCGCGTCATGGCGAAAAAACAGGACGAACGCGCCCCCGTTTCACACGCATTCACGACCATCCCTCGCTGTCTCTGTCTTTCTCTTCTCTCTCTCTCGAGAGAGAGAGAGAGAGAGAAGAGAGAGGGGGTTGGGGGTTTCGTGTGGGGAGAGGGTGTGTGAGGGAGAAAGGAGGGAGGGGAAAGTAGAATGGGCATTGATGGATAGTTGCTCTTTCGGTCGGCCCCGATCGGTAAAAATGGGACTGTGGGACGCTCCTCGGCCGCGAGGGCGCCTCCGGAGGAAAAATAACACAAAGAGTAAACGCGGCAGTTGTATTGGTTATGTATTGGAGTCCGCCATTCAGTCTGTGGAGGGCATGATGCCTCCGGAGTCAAGCGTCTGCCGAGAGAGTGCGCCACTAACTTGCTGGGAGGTGGGGGAGGGAGGGAGGGGGGACGGAGGCACTGGGGTTCGATTTCCTGGGTTTGACCATCTGACGTTATTGCGAGAAGGGGTGGACGCAGTCGCGAATGGCTCTACATGGGTTCCACCCCCACCCCCAGCCCTTATTCGCAGCACTGTTCTGCGAATAACTTTCAAACTGCCAATAATTCTGTCTGCTTCCAGGAACGGACTATACAGGAGCAGTTGTTCCACAGCACGCGCAGCAGGCTTGCCGACTTTGACAATAGCACAACAAGTGCAAAATAAAACCAGGGGCAGGGAAAAGAGAGGGGGTGGGGGCGAAAAAGGTGCGACGAAGAGAAGGAGAGAGAGAGAAAACTGGAATTAATGAATTAATTAGTTCCAAGCGCCCACGAGGGCTCACTCGAATCTCCCTTTGCCGTCCCATGCAGAGCGCGCAGTAAGCGCAGGACGAAGGAAGGCGCAATTTTTCATACGCCTCGGACGCCACCAGCTTGATGCTCCAATCCTATTATTTGGCAAGCAGGATGCGCATTTAGAAACAAAAAAAAAGACGGTCGGATGTTTTTGTTTACTTTTTTTCAGAAAAGAGCTTGCGAAAATTATGCAAAGGGAATGGGGTTATTTTGAGGTGGCCGCGAAACGCAATCCCGGGCCGCCACTGTAAATGTGTCAAGCGCCTCCAGCTCGCAACGCGACTCTGGAGATAAACCGAGAAAGTTGGCGACCCTGCAGGGCTCCAAGTGACGTTCAAATAACGCTGCCAATTTTTACTTGCTGTGTTTTTAGCCAAACTTTTTGACAGTCCACTCTAAGAAATTTAACAGTGGTGATTTTGAAAAAAAAAATGCAGAGCCTGTCGAAAGGAGTGTCCGAAATGTATCGAAAGTCAGTCGAAGCTCAAAATCGATTCCTAATCGATAGCTCGAAGTCGAAAGGTGGTCCCCCGACGCCCGCACCCCGCTCCAGGCCGGGCCGCGGCGGCCGGGCGGTGCAAATGGGTATTGATAGGGTAATGCCCGGGGGCTGCCCATTGGCTGCCCAGGTCCCAGGCGG